TAACCTAATCCCTCGAGGTATCCCCCTTAGGCTGTTAGATATCCCCGTGTATAGAACGAGTCCTGTACATTCATTAATAATAGCTCCTTCAGTCGAGTCTGTAACTTTAGCCTGTCCTTTAGCGAAGTTAGTTGTTCTTAACCCCTTTTGTTATGCCCCTGCAACCGAAATCGATGGCTTTAGGGAATACAGTGGTCTTCCTTCCAATTGGGCGTTGGTTGCCCCTACACCCTCCGACGACTTCAAGCATCCTCCTCGCGGCTGCTTTACCTTTTTGGTAGATCAAATAATGTCGGGACTGCGCTTCCCGATTCAACATGAGCTGTTGTCGCTGAGCAACCTGTATGATGTGCCAATAAATCAGTTTACTTCTAACTCCATCCGAATAATGGTGGCCTTCATAATCGTCACCCGAATAGTTTTAGGTAGTTTCGTGCCCGAGTTTTTTTTTTTATTGCTACAGGCATAGGTTTAGCAAAGACGCCCATTGCCTAGGTTGTCGTGTGGGTGTGTCCTTTCTTGACGACCTCTCTTCCAACATTATCGAATGGAAGAAGAAGTATTTTTTCGAGTCGTCTTCTCCCAACCCTTCTTGCGAGCTGGTCGAAGTCGAGCAACTGTTTTAACAGCTTCATAGCTGTTGAACAAGTTTTTCGAGTCGTCTTCTCCCAACCCTTCTTGCGAGCTGGTCGGAGTCGAGCAATGGTTTCAATAACTTCATAGCTGTTTTAACAAGTTTTTCGAATCGTCTTCTCCCAACCCTTCTTGCGAGTTGGTCGAAGTCGAGCAATGGTTTCAACAGTTTCATAGCTGTTTTAACAACTGTTTTGGGTCGGCCTCGTAACTGTGATTCTGCTTTGAGAATTACAACTTCGCAGTTGTACGAGTCGTCTTTGTGGTTGATAGAGTTAGCCGGCTATATAGCCATTTTGAAAAATTCAGTTTATTCTGGCAATGGGATAAGTCTTATGCTCTGACATTCTTTTTTTAATTTTGAATTTCAAAAACTCGAAAAGATGCGCGTCCGCTCAACTGCCGACTCTTCGTATTCCGCGCTTTATCATGATCGTTGGTTTTCTTGTTGATCTAACGGCCAACGTCCATCCTTCCCATATATAAATATGCTTCAACTTCTCCTTTAGACACTTTTCATTCTCTCAAAACTTCTCAATCCCTAAATTCTCTCTGCAACTCTGGCAATCTACGAAAGTTTGGTTATACCAGTGATTTTTTCCAGCAATTCCAACGTTCGGATCAACTTATCAGGCCAATATGAGTAATATGGGTAAGTGTTCATTGACTTATTCCCCAGCTTCTATTAATTTGCTCTTTTACGATTCTTCCAGGGTTTTTGGAGTTTGAAGTTCTTGTGCTTTGTTCATACTCCCCAAATTATTATTCTTCCTCATCTTCTTGTTGAATCTTCACGTGTGCATGTGTTGCTGGTGATTTGTTGTTTTTGTTTTGTTAGCCATCGATCTTTGGCGTGTGGTAGCTCCTCGCCTTTGTATTATGTCGACTCTTGTCGGCTCACTCGCTCTTCCCTTCTATTTTTTCCTTGCGTCGACTTATGTGGACTTGCTGACATGCCTTCATCGAGTCATGACATACTGCTTCTTCGCTTATTCTTTATCATTTGGTGGTCTCTGCGAGTTGACTTTATTTTGTGGTGACTAATCTTCGACCTCGTTTCTTTTTCATCTAGCTTCCCATTCTGACTCTTCCCCTGATACACTCGACGAATTGATCGATAGGGGCCTCGAATCATCTGACTCGGTTGAAGTGGTTGGCTATAGGATGACTAATATGTCTCCTCAGTCCTCTTCTGCCCGAGTTCCTGGCTCCGAAGTCGACTGGGCTGAATATGATCAAGCACTGTTAGACGGTTGCTTGGTGGAAATCATGGATCCTTCTCGAGGGGATTC